TCAAACTGGTCGTTAATCTCTCGCGGGCGATGGAGTTATGGAAATTTTTCGTCACAGAACCAGTAAATTACTCCGCAGTACTTCGTACTCCGTCGTACGGTATCCCCGACGCGTATATATATCACATTTCACAACTCGAAATCGTTATACCAACATAAACATGTCGCACAAATTATTAGAAATATGGAGTAACGACGGGGCTGGTGGGCGTACGTTTGTGCCGGGCATACGTCGGCGCATATAAGCGATATAACGACTATTAAGGCGCGAGTCGTTTTTTTTTTTGCTTCGTTTGAGTCGATAAAATCGGAATGTCGACAACCGTGTATAGTATCGCTGTTTTTTTGTCGGCCCAGGCTACGCCCAAATATCGTCGAAATCTTAGAAAGCCCGGAATTATAATCTATTTGTTTGCGAGAGAGAGAGAGAGAGAGAGAGAGAGAGAAAGAGAGAGAGAAAATATTCTTTAAAAATTGACTGGTCCATTCCACAACCCATCTGAACCTATATATATTAGTCTATGCTAAGAGTTATTTAAAAAAAGAAAGTCTGTTTGAAACTTTTGAACACATTCAGCTTTAGTAACAGTAGTTTGTATAAAAATTGAAAATATCAAAAAAAGAAAAAAACAGAGGTACCTTCAAAAATTTGAATTACAAAGTTCACGGTCTTTTTCATCGACTACATAAACTACAGTTACTATAAATAAACCATTTCTATTTATGTAATTTCACAAAATAATACTCCGACATATTTAAGGAAAGAAGCGAAGTGGGAAATGTTACGCTATTGCTACAGCGCATGCTTCAAAAAGTTGCTGCTTCTATTGGTACCTCGCAACGCGAAAATCTTTGACAAATATGACAACACTGTATCGATTCCAATAGTCTCGGCATATTACACTAGAGGTATAACGTATGCTATCTGCATACACTTTGACCATAACCTAAAAATTTTCGTGCATCTATCTGATGTCTATTTCTACACTCTCTCTAGGAATTTCTTCTTATTTTTAATAAGTGCTCAAAGTCAAAGTCGACTCGTTTTTAAAATTTCCTGCATGCAGTTATTAATCTTGCAAACAAATGTGACTGTTTTGTTGGTTGCGTAACTGAGGGGCAGCTGTCAAACAAGTGTGAGTCGATTTCCGGTCAAAACAACCCCGACCGATATCGGGAATACGGCCAAACGAGACGTAAAATCCGGGCAAAAACGACATTCCGATGCCGGAGAGTATATAGTGCCGGACCGAGGATAACTCAACCGGCCGTATGCAAATCTACAGAGTGTATTGTTATAGGTGAAGCCCACTCGCGAGATTTGAATAAATTGAAAACGTATATATATACGTTGCGGGGATTGGCAGTTTAAGACCATTGTGAAATCTACGGGATATTTTAGTGGATTTGGTCGCGGTTCTCGGAACCTTCGACGCGGTTAAGCTCTGGCCGTCTGGGCTGCTTTAACGACTTGACGGCGAAATTTTGAGCGAGTTTTTCTTATTTTGTTCGGCACACCGGTTTCTTTAATTTCTGTTGTTTTTTATGTATCGCTCTGTATGGCGTTTTCCACCCTCCGTCAATTCAATGTGACACGGAGACGCTGTTTGACTAAACCAGGTTGACAAAAGCGGCATTTGAAGAGTAAATGTGAAATATCCAAAATATTGCGTGGAAAATTACATATACGGTGAATGCGATAATCACCAAGGAGTGATATTTTACAGACTTCTTTGAAAGTCTAGTTACATTCGAATATAACATTACTGACCACGTGTTTTTAAGGTATGCGACATAAAATAATGATATAATTAAATAATAGATATTTTATCCCAAAGTAACTTCTTCCGATTTTATGAAATTTATTGCAATACAGTTTTCTAGACTTTTATTTAACTTTACATGCAATAGCATTTTCTATAGATTTTCCTGAACCCTGTGAATTTTAGTATTTGTTGTCCTCTCACAAAAAATTGCCTCATAAATCGGAAATCATTCATGGTTACACAACTTCCATTAATAAAGCTGAGTGTTCATATTTTCTATCGACTAATATGTTATACAAAATAATTGTGACATTATACGGTTTTACCTTTTATTATGTTTGATTTGTGAGGGCGTCTTTTTGATGACTTATAGCATACAGAAAAGTAAATTAAACATCACATTAAATTTTAGCGAAAAATACAAAAACTACGATAACTACAATAACAGTCAACTTTTGGGACACCAAGTATAACAATATTCCTCATCTTGTAATTTCGGTTCGAATTTTCTGTAGGACGAACCCAACATTTACGGAAAAAAAAATCAGAAATAAAATTTTAGCTTTAACGCCCTGTACCGGAATTGGCAAGAAGGAAAGTAAACTGGCGATATTTTACGCATTTTACGCAAATTTACTTTTTTCGAGCGTTTCATTTTTGCAGTTTGTATTTTAAAATAATACGCAACGAGGAAATAAGGGAATTTAAACTCAAAATCCGCTTGTTAGCTTCAAGCGATGTCGTCAACGCTGATTTTTATACTTTTGCATCGTCATAGCAATTCGACATTTAAAACACGCTGATAAAGAAAACATTAACTTGACCCACATTGCCCACTGTAAATTGGTAAATTAAAACTAGACATTATTAAATGGTTTAATGGATTTTAATATAGGCTTTTTTAAAATATTAAAAATAGCGGAAAAAGAAATAAATTTACCTAATTAATCACTCCACTTTCAGTTTTTCTACGATTTAGGTACATTTCTAATCAAAATAAATAGAAATTATATATTATGACATGACAATTGTTTCGACAACACCGTGTCTTATAAAAATGACCATAAAACCTTAATTAACGTTGTTGCGAGAATTTAAGTTCAGTAAAGGAGAGGTATTTAAATCTAATTGATCGTTAAGCAATACATTTGAATGTCTCATTTTGTTAATCTCCATGGCTTCCAATAAATTTAATTTTCTACTTTTTGTGTATCAAAATTGTCGTAAAAAATGTGTTTTTCTGTGTTTAAGTGTGTAGCTCTTATATGTTCGTTAATGCGTTTCTTGAAGGATCTACCTGTTTGTCCAATATAAATTTTAGGACAAGATCCACATTTCAACCTGTAGACGCCTGATTTTTGGTATTTTGGACATTTCGATTTATTGTTTTTTAAATATTTTCCTATTGTGTTGCTAGTTCTGAAAGCTATTTTTAAACCACATTTTGACAAATGTTTTGAAACTTCGTGTTCTGTATTTGGTTTCGGATAAATAGAGTTTAATGTTGTCTGTATTTGTTTTTTGTTTATAATTTCATCTATAATGGACGGATTGTAGCCGTTGTTCAGTGCAATTTGTTTAATGATATTAAGTTCTTTGTTGTAATTTTCTGTCGAGATTGGCGTATTAAGAAGTCTGTGTATAAAAGAGCAGCCATTTTGTGTTATGCATTGAGTTAATGTAATTTAAAAAAGAATTCAATTGTCTGTAAATTCCAACAAAGCAAGCAAAGACATCATTCACGTATATATACCAATATAGAAAACTTTTACTTAAAGGATGTTCTAGTATGATATTTTCCATATTATCCATAAAAATCTCGGCTAACAAAGGACTAAGTGGGTTTCCCATAATCAAACCTTCTTTAGAGATATAAATCTGTCCATTAAATTCAAAATAATTTTGGTCTAAAGATATTGTTAAGCAATCTAATAAATCTTGTTTCACCAATGGGTTAACCTGTTTCCGAGTTAGGGTAAATTTCTAATCCTAGAAACAGAGTCTAGGGGGTTGTTATCGCATAGAATGCCTATGATTCGCTACTCGCGACCAGCTTCTCGTATCTTCAATGTACTATAAAATCTACTTTCCGGATCGCCCTTGTATAGTGTACGTTCTATCGTCGTTTAACGGGACTTCCGAAAGACAAACGCAAACATATTTTTACTTAACGCTTAATAACGTGGCGTTAAACAAACATAAATAAAATTGCCAAATTTTATTACGTGTAGTTTTTTGGGGTCAGCGGGTTCAACGGAACTTTCACACATCGATTCGCGATATATTTCGACATCGTGTCGTTGTTTTCTTGTACGTATTACGATTAAAATTCGACAAAATCTCGAGGCGTTTCTGACACGTTTCGGTAGCATTCAGTTAGCTTGTTCGGGATAAGTTGGGCGCGTCCAGGTAGATACAAATTTTCGGAAAACATAGTACTCAAATTACTGAAAACTGATAGTTATTAGTTTACATATATCCAGACTTTTGCAGGGGGTGCAAGGAAGATTAGATGTGAGAGATATATGTATTTGCCATGATGGTTGGCTGTACATACCTTTTAACAATGTTATGACTGTCGTAGCATCGGCAGAGCAGAATTCATTATATTTAGACAGCTTTGTTGGGACAGATTTTGTAATTATAAAGTTTTATTAAAATTTTAATAGTACCGCATCCCAAAATAAATTTTAAGCAAATAGTGTAGAAGTTTTCACGAAATAAGGTCCATTTTTATTCTCTTTTAGATTTTGGAGTTATACCAGAATTGTTTTTAACTAAATAAAAAAATTACTTTAAAAATATTTTAATATTTGTTGATTTATTGTTAGTGCTGGAAGGTTGCCATCGTTAAGAGCGTATCTAATGTAGAATTAATTGCAGCAATTAGCCAAATCGCGCAATTAAGGCAAATATATTTGTATCATCTAACCATCATTTTATAATTTTTTTAATAATCGTTATAGGGTGAGAAGTTAAAGAATTTCGAATTAAAAAAAAAAGCCACGGAGCAGGAAAATACGTATATAAAGTTGAATGTTTCTTCGAAAATAAGACACCCCGTGTACGTAAACCTCACGATAACCAAAATTTCTGGCAGTTTCTTGCGAGTGGTATTACGTGAAAAAAAAGCTCCTTTTCCCTGGATCGCACTGTATAATTTTCGTTTCCGAGTGCGTAGAAAGAAGCCCGGCCGGGTTTGCAGTCACAAAATAACCGCTTTTGCGCCATTTACCTAAAACGAGCCACCAAATCCTCCTGGGCGGCGGGTCACCACAGAGTCACCACATAATACGGGGGGAGAACGAAAAAAAAAAAAAACGGTCAAATCCTAGGGCCGCACTCACACCGAAAACTCGCGACCCGAACTCTGGGCAATAAAAATGTCGGGCGACGTCGACGACGACGACGACGACGACGGCTCGAATAATCGGTACGGTTCTTTTTGTGCGGCGGTTGGCAGGCCTGTACGTGCGGCCGAACATCTACGACCGGCCTGGTACGTCTGCTTCGACTGTTTCCCGAAATCGAGTCGGCCGTGGCGCGGCCATCCCCACCCCTAGCTGCGGCCGTGAAAATTTCTGTAAATTCGTGAGGATCAGATTGGCCGGGGGGCGCGGCGTGAGCCCCGCATGGCGGGGGGAGAGGGTCGTCGCGGAATTTCTCGACTTTTGGCGTAAAAGCAGCCTCGCTACGTGGTAGGTGGCGACGCCTATCGCGCGGCCCCCGAAAGACCGCCGACGCGAGTCCACTACGTTTCGGACGTCTTCGGTCATCATCGGTACGCAATGAATTTTTCTCGCTCGGGCGTTCCCAAATCAAGCAATAAAAACGACTGAACTCCTAGGACCCTTGTCAAGTACTGTTTTATGCATCCTATGGTGATTTTCTCAATGCAGACAGGCGTCACCGAGATATCAACGGTTTTCATAATAGATGGATTTCCAATCCCCACAGCATCGACATTCTTTTGATTCCTTGGTATGGTATATCCCCAGATAATCTTCGAACATCTTGAGAAAATCGGTATAGATGATGTTGTGAATAATCTTTGCAAGTTGTCTTGAGAAATTAAGGCGAAGAATTAAGACGTTAAAGAATACGCAACTTAATTAAATCCCAAGACATCCGCAAAATTCCCGGAGACATCGAAATGTTCTTATTAGATTATAGTTCAGATCGCTAAGGTAATGTCAGAGAAGGAGCAATCTCCTTCCAATGTCCTGATGGGTATTTCCAATGAAAACTGGAATTTCTAGTTTTTTTCTTAAGTAATTGTTTCAGTTCCGTGTTTTGTATGAATAATCGTTTAAACCATAGCGATTATTACATTTTTTACATTTGCCATCCTATAATGGGACGCTTTAGGAAATTTTTCGTGAGTTTTGTTGTTGTCCTGGACGATCTATGAAAGATGTCTTGGGAAATTGCAGAAAACTTCTTCGGTGAAGTATAAATTCAAGAGTCATCCGTTGGAAATTCCTCAGATATCGTTTTATTCTTAGTCAGGTTTCCTAAAGCAATATTTTAGGATCAGGCAATAGCCAAAATCAATTGAATAACATGAATTTACAGTTCCAAACCGGTTTCATTTACAATTACCTAGTATTTTGTACTTTTTTCCTTTTTTTATGTTTTTTTTCTCTCTTGAAAAGTTGAATTACAGCTATTTGTTGTATAGCGCTCCTTTCTTCATCTCCAAATAAAGAGTTTATTATTATTATTGCCAATTAGAATTTCAAGTTTTTTCCGAGGGAACTGTCATTTGTTTGAATAATCATTACGACCCTAAAAATTATTACGTTACACTTTTTAAAAATATTTCAATATAGCTATGCGGCGTTTTAGGACGTGTAGGACTAATTTGAAACTCTTCCCAAATTTGAAAAAAAAAGCGCCGATTTATATTCAGATCGCCAGTGGCTGACAAATTCCTTCGTAACGAGCCAACGAATAGGTTCCGATTAAAAATCAAAAAGGCGAAACATATACAGTATGACCCCCTTTTTTCCCGAAACCATTAATATTCAGCGGACCGGGTTGACTATTAAGTACAGGAAACGATACTTAATAAAAATGAATTTTTTTCCTATAGATATTTGTCGTACGTGACGATCGTATACGGCGGCGTTGCGTATATTTTCGATTTTAATCGGCTTTCGGCGCACACACGTCGACGCCGACCGATTTGGTATAACTACGAAAAATTCTGGGACGTTTTTTATTTTTTTAATAGCCTTCGCGTTTACGGGAAAGTGCTACCTATACAGTTCGTCCCGATTTTGTTAAATTCAAATCGTCCAAATTGCTGCCTTGTTTTTTTTTTTTTTGAAATTGAATTTTTTTGAATTCCCCATTCCATCCCTCTTTAATTACAATAAAATACAAAGAATATTTCGAAAATTTTCCGAGAAATTAAAAAAATAATGTTCAAATCGTGTTTTTTCTTTAGCGATGGGTTTTGATTACCTACACATTTTTAAATGTTATTTCGATTTATTTATAATTTAGACTGAGAAAATATTAAAAAAGAAATAAAATCACAACCTAAAAAATAATGATTAAAAAAAAAAAGAAAATATAACAATTGATTACGAGAGTTTGTTTGGTTTTCTGGTAGGATTTGAAACACCTTCATTTTAAACACAAATCTCAAGGAAGTTGCTGAAAAATAGATACAATCTGATACAACACTAATATCTTGAACGCAAACCTAAATATTTTCATATATTTTTTTTTAACTTTCCAGTCAGCTGCAGATTTTTGAAACACTTCATAGCAGACGAGTCTGAACTTTCTCTCTTTCACACTTCTTCATCAGTCACTCGTTTATCAAGCAAAAATGGTTTTTATCAAATTTTGCACAATTTCCTTTTTGAAAAATCGCGGGTTTCTTGAAACTTAAGTTCAATATATTTAGCAATTTTAAATTAGTTCTATTAAACGCCCCCTTGGCCGCGAAACTGAAAACTTTCCGAATGGTTTAAACGAAAATCTCAACTGCCCACTCACTCTCCCGCCCACGAGAGTCCAGGGACGCTTTGTCGAATTTAATTAAGAATATGTTGACCCATTTTAATTATTTTGAAAATATTTCAGTTTGTCGGAAGGCGTCGGTAAAAACACTGAAACCTTTTCAGCGTCTATGACCCTTTAATGGGCGTCAGGGTATTAAAGTTTTATAGATAACACAACAACATTCATAGATTTTTTTCAATTTGTTTGCCGTTTCCCTTTTCTGGAGCTACTACGTATTTGCTGTCCTTCTTATCGTCTAATATAATAAATATAATCCTCAGCTTAAAAATTTTTAAAATTAATCCGAGATGACTTAGATAAAATGTGATTGATTGGATAATTGACTGATTTACAGGGTGGTCTATCTAAAAACTAAAAAAATATTTTCCGCACAGTTCTTTAAAACAATTTTCACGTGTCCTTGTCCTACTTTGTTTGAAGTGTTGGTACACTATACACCATACCAGAGGCGCACTGGTTAATCCTCCTCAGATACTAACAAAAAAATAATACAATGAAATCATTATATTAAGGGGTAAATACGGAGTTTGGACGAGTTGCAGTTAATCCGTATTTCGGCGTCGTCGTCGTCGCGTTTAACTATTATATCAGTCATATTTAGCGACGGCCTGTATACAGTTTTCAACGCCAGCGACACCACACACACTTATAGATAAAATTCATATAAAATGTGTTAGAGTAATAAATAATTGCGGCCATAACTGAACCGCGCTTTTGCGTCCATAAAGTGTGGGAGACGTGAGCTGAAAGGTTGATTTTTTTTTACCCGATCCGGCCGTTCGTTGGTAAACAAAGAAATACTTTGCCGATGATTTTTTCGAAATTGTTATGGGCCGCGTATAATAATTTATATGAATATGTTAAGTGATTTATGTCGGCGCGGTGTGCGCGATTTCCCGTATGCAATTAGTATGTTTGTTCGACTGGAAAATTATCTTATCGTTTCTTGCAAACGGCCGCGTTGCTGTCGCGTATTTTGACATTTTCTTGTTACTTTCGAAAATCGATGAAATCGAAAGTATCTGCGCTGCAGAAATGATCACCGTCGAAAAAAAAATTTTTTTTTGTCTCTTTGTCCGTTCTCCGTTCTCCGGTCTCGGCTTTTGGTTTTTTCTGAATAACTTTCGAACCATCAGAGCTACAAAATAGAAATTCGCCTCCTTTTTAACCTTCCACGAGGCACATAAGCTTATAAGAAATGGCCCCGATCCGACGCCGGTATCCACTTTTTTTTCGCGATTTTCGACTGGTTTTTGGACGTTGCTATGAAAACACGGTAAGTGTCCGAAATTTGAAGCGATCGACTTCATATTTGGCACATATATGCAGTTTTGCCCCGTGACGGAACCTGTTGAAAATGGGGGGCTGGGGGGTCGGGAAGTATTTAAAAAAAATAAAAAATCGTTTACGAGACCAAAAGAAGAAGCAGAAGATACACACATTGCAATTATATTGATTTTGATGTTTTTCTCTTTCCACAAGCACCTCATGCAGATCTTCTTGCATTCCCTAATTATCCGACGGTAATTTTGAAATGGGTCGGTGCGGCCAGTTAGAATTATTTATTATTATATTTATTTTAATAAGTAACAAACAAAAATTCAACAATGTAACTTGAATAAGAAAAATAATAAATTTCCTGTCATTTTAGTTTATTTTTTCTTCGATCTGTTCGTAATCTGTAACAACAAGAAAGACCGTAAACAGAAAAACCGCACCATGGGCTCGTCGAAATTCAATAAGCGGAATAGTCGAACGGCGGTGTTGAGAGGGTCGGAGGGGGGGCGATGGCCGCGCCGCGGACAAAACGCAAAAAGGCCAAAACCGAAAAAACGTGCGGCATTGTAATATTGGGCGAATTTTTAAAAATAAAACGGTCCGAATCGCAACGTCCGTTTCGGAGAAACAAATGAAGATCTGCCGTGGGGGCCGTACGCGAAGACTGAGACGGCGATATGGGCCCCGATATCGGGCCTGACGAAGACGTTTACGTCGGCGGATCAGTGGCGTAGCGGCTCCCCTTTTTAATTTTTTTTTAAAATTTTCTGACGCCCCTAAAGTATTTTTTTTTTATTTAGGATAAAAGCTGAAAATTTTGACTACTATAGAATAACGAACTATATTATTCGTTAACCTATTTGATTTTTTTAATTATATTCGTAAAGAAGTAAAAATTAATTTTTGATTCTTCTACTTAAATTTATTTTGAACCAATATTTTCGCATATATTTTTGTGAGCAATTCGAATTTGTAGATAATTGTAATGTAGATTGCAGAGAGCCATTATCTGCAGTGCTTCTATGAAATTAAAACAATCCTTGCGGAACACCTCGTATTTATATGAATCTTGTTTGGGGTAATTTTTTTTTATTACTTTCGGCATTGCAATGAGAACCAACATTTTTGAAATCTCCAACTCTTTGTTTTTTACCAACAAATATTTTC